CTGTAACATCTAACTTGTTCATTAGTATATTTAAATTTTCTAAAAACTAAAAATTTTATAATTTTTATAGATCGTTTCAGTCTTTGTTTCTATATTTACTTATTATTCTTTGCCAATACAAGAGATGACTGTTGAATATTTATACATTCGACTATTTTAGTGTTTATATTTTGTAAACTAGAAGTCATCATTATCATCATCATTTTCAGCTTATTCAACCATTTCCAATTATGGTCTAGCCTCCCTCACAACTACGAGGCATGTTTTTTAAGTAAGTACCGTTTTGGAATTTAAAAAAAAACGTGCAAAGATATCGCAATAATTTTATTTTTACATGAAAGCCTGTACCTTAATCTACTTTTCTACATAATTTCCGTGAATATTGAGGCACTTGTCATAACGTGGCACCAGTTTTTCAATACCCTCCTCATAAAATTCTGCCGCCTGACTGGTTAACCACTGTATCACAACTGTTTTGACTTCGTTATCGTCTTGAAGACGCTGACCGCCCAGGTGTTTCTTCAAGTGCAGGAATAAATGGTAGTCACTGGGCGCCAGATCAGGCTGTATGGAGGATGATCAGAGTTTCCCATTTAAAAGATTTGATGAGATCTTTGGTCCGATTAGCCACATGTGGACGGGCATTATCATGCAGCAAAACAATACCCTTACTCAACTTGCCACGTCTTTTGTTTTGGATTGCACGGCGCAGATTGTTCAATGTCTCACAATAAGATGCTGCCTTGATTGTCTCATTACGAGGCAGAAACTCCACTAGCAATACTCCTTTTCTGTCCCAAAAAACTGCACATGATTCTCCGGGCAGAAATTGTTTGCTTAAACTTCACTGTTTTGGGTGATGATGAATGTCGCCATTCCATGGACTGTTGTTTCGATTCTGGTGTTTCGTAGGCCACCCATGTTTCGTCACCAGTAACAATTTTGTCTAAAAAATCTTCACCTTCATTGTGGTACTGCTCAAGGAAAGTCAATGCACTGCCTAAACGTTGGGTTTTGTGCAAATCCATCAACATTTTCGGAACCCAACGTGAACACAATTTCCGGTAATTCAAGTTCTCGGTCACAATGCGATACAAAACACTACGAGAACATTGAGGAAAGTAGTCGCACAATGATGAAATTGTAAAGCGTCTGTTTTCTTTCACCTCTTTGTCCACTTTCTGCACCGAATCTTCATTAACGACCGAAGGACGCCCACTCCGTTCTTCATCATGCACATTTGTGCGGCCATCTTTAAATGCTCTCACCCATTTCCTTACCATTCCATCACTCATAATGTTTTGTCTGTAAACTTCACAGATGTCACGATGAATATCGATCGGTTTTACGCCTTTAGCACTAAGAAATCGTATGACAGCCCGTACTTCACAATCGACGGGGCTCACGATTGTCGGAGGCATCTTAAACACTCAATAAACAACATATACAATGAAGAATCAGACTGTACTGGCGTCTGTGCATAGACAAGAGATGTAGGTAACAAGCGCGCATGCGCGGAACGCCGACCGTAGCGCTGCGGCGGCGGAATCGCAAAACGGTACTTACTTAAAAAACATGCCTCGTATATTTGTAGTTGGACCCATTGTTTTCTATTGTTGGCTATGCGGGCCCAAGTTATCCCTGCTAATTTCCTAATATCATGGTCCCATCTCAGGTTCTGTCTTCTTCTAGGTCTCTTAATTCCTCGTTGGTACCATGCTGTAATTTTTGTGGTCGATCTGTTGTCCGTTCTTCTTGCCTAAGGACCTTCCTTATTGCCATTTGAGGGATTTGACTCTGTGGATGACATCTATTACTTGAATCTTTTGTCGTATCCACTCTATCTTGGTCTCTCTTGGTTATTCCCAGCATAATTTCGTTCCATTGAGCGTTGTGCGACCTGCGGTTTCCTTATGATGTCCGTTTTAAGTGTCCAGGTTCCGCAGGCATAGGTCATGACTGGTACTACACATTAATCGATTGTGTACTACCACACTAGAAGTACTGCTGAATATTTGTTGTCTAGATCTATACATACATGTAACCACGTTATTTAAATTAAATCGAATTTAAGTATAATGTTAATTTTAACAGATTTACTTTATATATTTAGTTGTTACATTACATAAAAAAATATTCTAAAATTAGTACTCTGTTACACTGATTAAAATGGCTTTGAAAATGAGTTTTTGTGTTTTATAAGACGCCCTAGAATAAATTAAATACATAATTCTATACCCGTTGTCCGATCGAATTTAAATGAAAAAAAAGACACAGATATTTTCAAACATGTTCGATGCAACCAGCACACTTACGGCAGCTTTAAAAAAGAATAACATTATAAAAACCGGAAATGGAATTTTTATCTGTCGGAACCTTTTTGACATTTTTGAGTGACACTCTGGGCGATGACTTTTTCAATTTAAAATCGAATTTCCAACCGACAGAAATCAATGCACGTGTCAAAAAGTCCATTGTAAGCATTTTCTTTAGAGCTTTTTTACATCAGATGCGATTTTTTATGTTTGGAATATTAACCTTCGCATTGTTTTGATTTGGGTTTTCAAAGATTTCACAGTCTTTTTGAAAAGTTTCATTGTGGATTTTATTGTGTGCGGTTTATAATCAAACGAATATACTATACTGGGTATGTTGCAATGTTTTAATAATAAAATTATTATCAACCCTGTATTTTTTACGTGAATTTTTGAGTAATCTTCTCGGCAGGAGAATATAAATCATTCCGCGGGCTGTGGTAAAACAAGGAGCGAATAAAAAACAGACTCGTAGTAGATTAAGGACCTTTTGCGAAGTATTCCAGTGGTAATTAGTGTGGCGGGGTGTTTATTGTTTAGAAACTTCGCACTTTGGTCGGGCGCTTCGGCCAGCTGAGCCCCGTTTCTTATTTTATCTCACCCCCTTTTTCATTTCTCATTGGCGTAGACACCGGCGCAAACCAGATGTCACCAAGTGTATTTATTTTCGAAAAATACAATTTTAGCGTATCTTTTACCTTATTTCCTCACAAATTTTGTCAGAATATTTAACAGAAATTGTTCTAGTTTAGTTAGGATCTAGTTTAGTTTTAGTGTTCAATGTTTATTCGAAATACTTGTTTTTAACCTAATAGCCTCCATAGACGCTCAGTTCTTTAGCACAGCCTGACTGTGCAGGCCAGTTTGCGTAATTTAACCTGTGCTACTGTCTGTCGGACACAAAGTTTCGTAGCACAGTATCTACAATGAATTGAGTGACCTACCTACTAATAATTTCAGGTCATTTTTTATACAGTGAAAATAACTTCGTGAGATACAGTTTTGTATTGTAGAATGTAGAATGTGTGGGAGGAGAGTTAATCACCGCTACCTTACAGAACAATTGTGTGTCCCCCTTTCTTGAGTTATAATGAGTTATAACTCATCATACAGTCTCTGGGCTTTGACAAAAGCCAGTATCTGAAATGGCTAGTTCTCCGTCTCCGATATCAGTCGTACCAAAGTTTATGGCACGAATGATTGTCGTCTAGGCGCACTCACTGATGTGGTATTCTGGTGTTTCCCCATTTTCCCCACAGAATCTGAATTCAGCTTTGTCTCTTAGCTTCAATATACTGACGTGTTCGTTGAGGAGACAAATAGCGGGGTGTTCCGTTAAAAACCCCGTGACAATCCGAAGATTGTTCTTACTTAAATCAAGGACAATGTTTCGTCCTGAGAAATTTCTTCTAGTGTCTTAGACAGTTGGAGATGTTTTGGGGGTGTCTTAGACCGATGGATTTTATCATTGTCGCATTGGCATATCTACCGACGATAATATGCAGAGGTTTTATCTTGCATTCTTATCTTGTGCTCGCTTGTGCGATAAAGCTTTTCTTTTTATTGCAATCACTGTACTCGGTACTTAATTTTTATTTTTTATAAACATGTCATTTTTTTTATTTAAGTTCGACATTTTACAAGTTAATAATAGACTGAACTTCTTCTATGAACTGAACAAAAATGAACTGAATGAGCACATACACATTTAGCTTTTTTGCATAGGCGGCCTGTACGAAAAAACCGAGCGTCTGTGGGAGTCTTTAACCATGTAACATAAACCCAAATATTTTATACTGAAAACCCATCTAAATGTTTATATAAGGAAATATATAGAATCACCTTCTGATTTTTTCACCCTGTATTTTAAAACCCAGAACGATAATTAATGTTGATTTGACTTGATGAAACTGACATTTTTGACTTAAAAATGTGATTTATGTCACCATATTTATTTTTTATTTCATAGATGGTATAAAAAATATCTTGGTAAGGATCTAATATTTAGTATTGAATTTACTTATTACTAGACAATATGTATGGTTACGCCCCTGATATTCCACAAACTTTTCAGTAAAATTAAAACAAAAAACCTATTACATATTAAGCAACCTTTATCTCAGGTGTATTGGGGATTATTTATTAATATGAAAGTAGGCGGGTACTTAATATTTCACAGCCACATGGCTGGTTAGGAGATAATACAACGTATTTTTGAATATCGTAAAATATATTTTTGGGATTTTGAAAATAAAAGTCAGTCTATAAATACAATAATTTTATTCATGTCATTTTTATTAATAATTAGATTATATACACGTTTTTTTTATCAAATTCAATGTAATTAAATAAATTGCTTTGTGGTTTAGTGTCTGTTTTGAGTTGGCACTAAAATAAATGAAAATTTATTTTTCTTACAAACCTCTGGTTTATTGAACGACTTTAAAAAAATACAATAAATAAGATTTTTTTCGCTTAAGATTGCACTACATTTAACTAAATACCTATTTTAGAGTATACATAAAAAACGAACTTGTGTAAAAGAGTGAAAAGATTATATAAAGAAACAAACCCAAACGATATAACGTGCAATAAAAATCCAAGTGAAAATCAAAGAAACACGAAAACAATATAGATTTAAATAAGTACGAAGTTTTTTTTTCGAAAAGAAAAAAATTACAAAACACAAGTAGAAGGTTTTTATTTATATCGCTTATACACTGGCCACCGAGATTGGGGAAATATACAAAAATCTTTTTATCAGGTAAATATAATAACAACAATTTAAGAATATAACAACAATAAACAACTACACAAAAACAAAATCGATACTCGCATTGACTAAATTGAGAGGGAAAATTAAATATAAAGGTAACTACTTAATTTGTAATCAATTTTCGTAATTTTCGTTTACATCTACTTAATAGCTTAAAATAAATTACATTAAATTGAGGAAAATATATGATTTTTTTTCGAAAGTTTCTGAAAAATTACGAAAAACAAGTGGAAGTATACATATATATTCACAACTTAATTGTTTTATTTTTCTCTGTTTTTTTCTTTCTAAAAAGAAACTACCTATATACAATTTGTACATACATATATCCAATAAAATATATTACTTATAAATGATAAGGAATATTAGGATGTCTCAAGATCAAGAATTTTCAAATTTTAATCCTTATTATTCAACTCTTAAATTTTGCTTTGGAATAAATATACGTTTGTTGAGACAATCTAATATGTTACGATTACTATTTGTCTTTCATTGTGATATAAAAGGAACATTTCACTCTTAACAACTAGGAGTATTTACCAGCGTTTTGTTTTCTGGTTCAGCTTGTCGTCACTTTTGATATGTGAGTTCGCCACCGCCTACTGGGATTGTCTTTTCATTTTCATTATTCACAAAATAACAAACAACGTTAACGAAATAATGTATATATTATTGACTAGTAAAACTAGTACAGTTTTAAATATCACATGTACGGCCATGAAAACGAACTACCAGATAAGAGCATGTCTCTGATAAGGGTTTCAATGGGGGTTTTTCCTACAAGCCGAACGAAAAACAGTTGTTCTATTACCGCCGAGCTAACAGTTCTTAAACTAGGCAACCGTAACAACAATTTTCCGAATCTGGTAGGTTGGTTCGGATACTGAGATCGGCAGTATTCTTCCAGAGCACACTGCGACTTCTCCTGGATTGATTCTATATGCGCAACATCGCTCAAACCACATGCATCTGAAACAGAAGAAAAAAATATCAGTCTCGTCTTTATAGCTTAACTAATAATACAATATACAGAGTATCCCATATAAAAATGCACTCTATGAGAATCTCGTAAACTAGAATTGATACGAAGATGATTGGGAAAGCTTATTTTACAAGCAATTAAGTTTGGGGAAAAGTGGAAACCAATTTACAGCAGAACTCAAGAACCTGGAAGACTCTATCCGTAACCTGGAATGGGAATCCTCTAACGGTCTAAGACACTCGAAGAAATTTCTCAGAACTACCGAGCAAAATCAAAGATTTAAGTAAGAACAATCTTCGGATTGTCACGGGGTTTTTATCAAGACCCTTTCTCCTCAGTTAACCCCTCACTAGATTAAAGCCAAGAAACAACGACTAATGCAGATTCTGTGGGGAAAGTGGGAAAACACCAGAACACCTCATCGCTGAGTGCGCTGAGACGATAACCATTCGTGCCATAAACTTTGGTACTACTGATTTCAAAAAGGGGGACATAATAGATTTATAAGGTGGCGGTGGTTAACTCTCCCCCTTTCCATACAATTTACAATGTTTGGAGAATCTGTTCAATATAAATATATAGTTCTTTCTGTGTAGATAAATCTCAATTAGCAGCTATAGAGCGCGGCATTAATTTAAACCCGATGAGCAGGAAATTGTGGTGACAAAATCGTACTTATCGTAAACTAGATCCCGCTTATTCAAATGAAGCGATGTTACAGAGGCAATGTCAAAAGGTGACAAGACTCATATACATATATAACTCATAGAAATACGTATTGTATGAGTATTGGGATGGTTAGAATTATTTTTTTAGTAGAAGAATCAATTAAGAACACTTGCAGGATAAATAATATTAATTAGATAGATGGTTAAACTCATTCAACGAGCATTTAGCTCAGCAGCAATATAAAACAACAGAAACAAATAGCATTTTCGATTGCGTTGTTGGACAAATCGATTGTAATTACCGTGAATAAATCTTCTCATCTAGTAACCAGTAGGGAGCTGATTATCCCATGTATCTAAATGTCTGGTCTGGTTAAATCGGCGTTCGTTTGTCTCAATGACCTATTCGTTTGTTTTCTTTTATATTTTCCTAGTAGAATGCTGTCTTTCAATCTTTCTGGCTGTTCTTTATTATTCGACATCTGTCTGAGTCGTTTGTGTTTGATTGTGGTGTCAAATATTTTTAAATTTATCCCGTTAGCTCCAAACGTTTTTTAATCAAACAATTATTTATTATTAGAGTTTTAGTTCCTCTTCTCTCTTCTATAGAATACCTCTTTCTAATGATGTGTTAGTTGCTGTTCTTTTGAGCTTGCAACCGTCTACAGTTTTAAAAGGGCTTTTTTGTCTTTGTTTATCAGGTGTTTTGTAAATTTTGTCCGTTGATTTTTTGATCACTCACTGTTTTGTGACATTTTTATAATTGCTGGTCGCAGATGGGTTCTGGATTTTTATCTATGACCCCAGGATTTTAGATTATCACACACATTTTACCGGTATATCGTTCAATTTTACTTAAAAATAAACGTTTTCCTATACCTATTCAAATATCTTGTACTAATTGGCTGTATGGAAAATTTAGTTTATCTATGGTTGTTTCCAATAAAATACGCAATAATAATAAGTTGCAAAATAAATAATAATAAGTTGCAAAAGCCGCCTTATCCATTTAAAAAAAATACCTAATGACATATATTAATAGTGGGGCCCTGAAATCTACATAAACATAGTCCTAAACAAGTCCAGAGACTAGCATGTGTTTGCATCACAGGAGCCATGAGAACCTGTCCAACAGCAGCAATGGAGGTCATTCTAGATCTAACACCACTGCACATTGTCATTGGTAGATATGCCAATGCGACAATGATTAGAATGGTCACTAACGGAATTAGTACTGGGAGAATTGTCAGATCAGGGGCTTGGAACACCCTCAAAAAGGAAATACCACTTCTGCAACTCTCAGTGGACGATATGCCAAGAACGTACAACTTTGACAAACATATCAATGTAGTATTGAGCAATAAGAAGGATTGGAAGAGCGAAACGCTTGCCCAGCAGTTAAAAGACCATACTATAACTTGGTATACTGATGCTTCCAAAACCAATACGGGAACAGGGATCGGAGTGTTTGGGCCGACAGCTAATTACTACGAACCAATGGGCACTTACCCTAGTATCCTACAGGCAGAAATCTACGCTATCGAGAGATGCGTACAACTTATCTTAGATAGGAACTATCGGAAACAAGAAATAGCCATCTTATCTGATAGTCAAGCAGCGCTAAAGGCGATCAACTCAGTATCAATCACTTCGAAATTGGTCAAAGAATGCATAGAGAAGCTGAATAAATTAGGCAAAGAAAACAAAGTCCTCCTACACTGAGTGCCTGCTTACCAAGGGATAGAAGGCAATGAAAAAGCAAATAATCTAGCTAGGAAAGGAGCGAACACTCCACTAACTGGACCAGAACCGTTCTGCTTTCCAAGTGGTAACCAACTCAAGGCGGAACTCAAGAACTTGGAAGATTCCATCCGCAACCTGGAATGGAAATCTTGCAATGGTCTAAGACACTGAAGAAGTTTCTGAGGGCTTATGATCAAGAAAAATCACAGATCTTCCTGGGTCTGAGTAAGAACAATCTTTTTAACAGGACACTGTCTCCTCAATGAACACCTCAGTAGATTGAAACTAGGAAGAAACGGCGAATGCAGATTCTGTGGGGAAGATGGTGAAACACCAGTACACCTCATCACTGAGTGCGCCGAGACGACAACCATTCGTGCCATGAATTTTGGTACGACTGATATTGGAGATGGAGAACTACCCTCTATAAAACCGTCCCAGATACTAGCTTTTGTCAAAGCCCTGGGACTGTATGATGAGTTATGATTCAAGAAAGGGGGACACAATGGATCTGTAAGGTCGAAGTGATTAACCCCCCTCCCACTCATTCTAATTCTAGTCCTAAACTGCAGCAAAAGTCGCCTGTTCCTATATAAAATTCACTACAAATTACGTTACTTCAGAAAAATCCGTCTTATCCAGTTAGATTTTGCTTTTTATTGTCATTATTGTTGCAAATCTCGCATTTTTTCATAGGCTTTTTTCACAAATATAATACCGTATGATCGAATAAAAACAGCGTCAGCGATGGCTATGAAATGAAGATAGCTGTCATTTTATATGTAAATTTATATAGGAAATGCCATGGATCGTCATTTCCAAGCCAACTGGACGCCGTTTTTATTCGATCATACGGTATTACTACTGACGTCTTATCCATTTCAAATCCCTTCATAATTTTAATAAAATAGCATATCAAAATAAAAACACTAAATCACCACAATACACCAAAACACTTTTACTTTTACACATGTGTGTCTTGTGTAAAAGTAAAAGTGTTTTGGTGTATTGTGGTGATTTAGTGTTTTTATTTTGCTGTATAACACCAAAGGTTCCAACCCTCAACTGTAATATTTAAAATAGCATATATTTAAAGAATCAAGTTAGGATACAAATATATCTAGGATATCTTGCTGTAGGAAAACCCGCAATATGCATCATACTTGCAACAAAACCCGCTTTTTTCGAAAATTTCTAAAAAAACGAGATACAAAACAATGATTCCATTAAACGGACACGATTTTTTTTTAAATAACTGTTAAAACATTTACTAAAACAGTTTTTGCATATTATCTTGAAACAGTGTTTTTGGAATACGACGGGTTTTACAACTTGACGCCTCATTTCTAGATGTCAACTGGATAAATTTTTTTTTGAATGAACCGAAATGAATAGGAGCAATCGAATTAAAAAAACCGACGCCATTAGCATAGCAAAGAGTAAGTTAATTACATTTCCAGTCCAAGAATAGCTTGAAAAATTCTTGACCCCCGGTTTATTCGTTTGACACTCAACTAAAAATAAGCCGGAGTAAAGTGCAATTGTCTCATACTTTTCCATGTTCCTTGTTTTAGTTTTGTTGCAGCTCAGAAAACATTCCTCTCAGCTGCCGTATCTCTCTCCCTCTCTCACACGCTCTGTCGTTCATTCTTAAGATCCAATTGAATTTAATTTACAGTAGCTGCCATTATTAAAACATTTCTGTAACCGATGTAATTAATTAAGAAAGACAGACTATGCTAATCCGTGTTCATCAATTTTTAATGGCCATTGGGACAATTAAAACTTTCTAATATTAAAACATTTTATGTTGGCAAGACTTTGCTTTATAGCCTGGCGCGGATTGAGCAAAGTTTCTGCTTAATACTTTCAATTGTCCACGTTTTCTAAAGTTTGCCTCGCAAGGATGCCTTTCATTTTCTCTTTTCCATCAACGTATTTTAACGGCTTATTTCTAACTTTGCTATTACTTTACATTTTTAATTTTTCGAAATTTTTACGTCAGATACCTATACCTTTTTGTTTCCTTATCCCTTCACCAGAATGTTTTATTGTACGCATTAATGTACAGGGTGTCCCATTTTAGTTGAAATCATACGGTATCTCCGTTATTCGTGAAGATAGAAGGGTGCGGTTTGCACAAACCTATGCCACTTTTTTGTCAAACGAAAAATGCCGTGAACAAATTTTCATAGCCCTCTTCGTTTCTGAGTTGCAGGGTCTTTTTAAAAATTTTGCAATTTGGGACACCCCCTGTATCTCTGTTATTGTTAAAGGTATCGAGAAGGTGAAAACTGTTTATTGTAGGACATTTTACGTAGAATACAGTGGCGTTGTCTGTTATTCTACGAAAATAATATTTTTAAAGATATGAACTAAAGTTATGTTTTCTTAAATGGAACACCCTGTATATTTATAAATTATATGATCTGGCTTGCTATAAGTTTCTCAAAAATATATATCACTCTATATTTATTTTCATTATTTAGTGCAATATTTAAAAAAATATATATTAAAAGATCAAATCTTATTAGTAGGTCATGATTGATAATAAAAGAAACTAAATAATTATTAAA